ACATAACATTGCAATCCTTATACTTTACTCATTCACTCATCACTAATGCATTCCTTATTAGTCTTTATTTAATTTGATTTCAATTCAATTGATTTGTTATAACTTAAAAACATTAAAATGTGATTGAAATGAAGTGATATAACGATATTTGACACAAAATTCAATCAATTATTTTCACATTTGACTCGTTTTCCCAGACTTATGCCTAAATGAGTATAACTTATATTATTATAAATTAGCTTTCATTATTGAATCAATTATTGTTTGTATAAATTAATCAAAATGTCTTAATGTGTGCAGTAAATCAATGTATTGACTTCTTGTAATGTAATCTAATTTAAATAAAGTTTTATACAAAATAAGTAACACCTTGCTCTATATTNTCAATTATTGTTTGTATAAATTAATCAAAATGTCTTAATGTGTGCAGTAAATCAATGTATTGACTTCTTGTAATGTAATCTAATTTAAATAAAGTTTTATACAAAATAAGTAACACCTTGCTCTATATTAATTTGTTGCATATTAATCTGTATGTTCCAAACTAGGAGTACCACTAAATCCCAAAAATCTAAATCTCGAAAATTGAAATTCTGAAAATTAAAATCTAAATCATATCTTGAAATCTTGAAAATTTTAATTATTATAAAAGTACCTTAATTAATTTTTTTGTGGTTTAAAACTTATTAATTCTAACTTAATAAGTAAGTGATTGATTAATTAGTAGTTACTGTAGTTAATAACGTAATAACACACAAGACTCACACTATTGTAAATAAAAATAGTGGTTAGAAAATGTTTATATGGAGAATTACGGTGCTAAATATTAATTAATTAATCACTTTAATCACTTAAGTAAATAACTTTTACTTAGGTAATAAGTAAAACTATTAAAAATTCAAATAAATAAATAAAACATGATTTAGAGATTTTGGTTTTCTGAATTTTGACAAGATACATTCCAAGCTGTATCTAACATTCTACATTCTAGAATCTACAGTAACTAATCTGAAAATATAGTATTATATCGTACAGTACTGTACCATATATTGCGGGAAATACGGTATATGGGTATATTGCTGTCATTATTATAGTATAATATTAAATATGAATTTATAATATCTACAGTAACTAATCTGAAAATATAGTATTATATCGTACAGTACTGTACCATATATTGCGGGAAATACGGTATATGGGTATATTGCTGTCATTATTATAGTATAATATTAAATATGAATTTATAAGCATACAATTATAAGCATACTGTACATTCTCTAACAATTAGAGTGGAGTTATTTTAATGAATAAATAATAACCAATAGAGTAGTTGAGTAGAGTAAATGAATAATGACACTTTTATAATATTTATTTTTAGAGTTATTATTTTAAAAGTTTAAATAAATGATTTATAATATAATGCAATTTTTATAATACAATAAAATTTTAAATAGATGTTTTTAATTTTTAAGATTAATATTCGAATTAACATTTCACAATTTATTTTTTAATATACAATGTAGAGTACAGTAAGTCATATAGTATAACAACTTTATCTGAACATTTAAACACTAAATCTGAAAATAGAAATTATACCAGTACAGTCCTAGGACTTCTATATAATATACATTATAATAATATATTATATAATTTGTAAATTTTTTTTATAATTTAAACATTTAGAACATATTTACAAATTAATATTATTGTCATCTTTCAATAATTTGTTTAATTTAGAGTGAATTTTAATGAAAATAATAATTATTATTTTGTTGTAAACTTTGATTGACACGAATGAATGTGTCTATGATTATAAGATCTGAAAAACTAAATAAATACACAATCATTGAAAACTTTAATTGAAAAGCAATGTACTGTACAAACAATAGCCTAATAATAGCCGAGAGATCGTCTTTGTTTGTATTCATATATCTTCTGTTGTGCCGATCGCTTAGGAATTGAGGTATAGTTGGGAGGCATTCGTTGAAAGGCTGCGGGAGGGGGAGGGGGCGGTGGGATCACAAATGTCTGCGAATCGCACGGAGTTGAAGACCTCGACTCGACTTCAAAACTTTTATTAAGAGACAACTCTTTCGTGAGCACCGGAAACGCCGAATACAGGTTTGAATACAACGACTTCCGCTTCTGTAACATTGCAATCATAATCGTTAAGAGTTTATAGAAAATTAACCATGGTACAGTAATATTGTACAAATATTTATAGAAAGCACATAATCATAGGCACTATATTTATTAGAATCAAATTTACAGTATATTATAATTTTAATTTAGGCACTCAAGTGTACGATTTAATGAATCGGTATTTACTGTTTTATACAAAATAACCAAATAAGATAGATTCAAATAAGCAATAAACAAGAAACTTCTAGTATTAATACAGTATCTTATAATTATTATATGACGATAGCAATGCAATAATTGGCAATGAGACTAAAATAATCAATTATGTTAAATATCCAAAACACTGAAACACTAACTAATTATAAAATAGAGAAAGTTAACATTTAATTGCAGCACTGCTGTACAATTGGCATTCATCTGTTTAATGATTTAGAAGTTGGCTACTTTGTAAATAATTGTATTAATAGTCTATTAAACTTAATGAAATGAAATGAATGTTTGCCATTACCTGAACCCTTAGCCTCCATTTAATGGCTAACCTCTTAGCGATAGCCAAACGCTTTAATTTTCGGGCTTTTCGTTTCTTATAGACAATCTCTATGACTATGAGTTTTTATAGAAAATTAACCATGGTACAGTAATATTGTACAAATATTTATAGAAAGCACATAATCATAGGCACTATATTTATTAGAATCAAATTTACAGTATATTATAATTTTAATTTAGGCACTCAAGTTTACGATTTAATGAATCGGTATTTACTGTTTTATACAAAATAACCAAATAAGATAGATTCAAATAAGCAATAAACAAGAAACTTCTAGTATTAATACAGTATCTTATAATATGACGATAGCAATGCAATAATTGGCAATGAGACTAAAATAATCAATTATGTTAAATATCCAAAACACTGAAACACTAACTAATTATAAAATAGAGAAAGTTAACATTTAATTGCAGCACTACTGTACAATTGGCAATCATCTGTTTAATGATTTAGAAGTTGACTACTTTGTAAATAATTATATTAATAGTCTATTAAACTTAATGAAATGAATGTTTGCCATTACCTGAACCCTTAGCCTCCATTTAATGGCTAACCTCTTAGCGATAGCCAAACGCTTTAATTTTCGGGCTTTTCGTTTCTTATAGACAATCTCTATGACTATGAGTCCAAATGCGACCACAATTCCCGACAAAACCAGAACGAAAACTCCGGCCATATTCTTAATACCCAGGGTATAGGGAAAGTGTTGCGCATCACTATCACAGTCTACCCAATTGAATACAATTGTTTTGAATAATGTATCATGATCAAAATAACATTATTCACTAAATGATTACCTTTTTCTGAGTGTAATATCCATTTGTTATCCAATGCCTCCATTGAACCGCTTTCATGCATTTGAAGCAAAGCTAGCGTCACTTTTTCTGTCCAAAAGCTAAACAATAAAATGCATTTTAAGTCATCCCTAACATATCATATATGATATATCCCAACAAATAACCTATTCTTTTGTAATCCAATCCCATATCCCGATCGTCCAAATAATTCTCCCGAAATAACGAGTTCGCAGTCTTGGGCGGCCTCGTACTCCAGTCGCGGTGAGTCCCATATGAAGGCATTCAATTGTCCTGGACATAGTTCACAGTCATATTCATAATTACAGTATAGCGTAGTTATATTATATCGTATACACACAAAATCTCGAAATATATAATCTCGAAAATTTTAAAATTTATTATTTAATTTGGTTAATTATATAATTATACACATGTATAATATGAATTAAAACTAAACACAAAATAGAAAATTTTAACTATAAAATATTTTTATAAAGCAAGATTGTAAATATTTTGTACAATAAATGTTTTTTAAAGTTAATAAAATTAATAAAATAGCTAAAAATAGATTATATTATATAAATTTCGAAATTATGTATTTCGAGATTTTACTTTTCGAAATTTCGTTGTTCGAGATTTGGTTATATGAATGTCTGAACAAACCTAACTTAATGGCTGCGATGGCCTCTTCAGGACTTTGTCTATTCGTCTCTTCCATAGTTCGGTAGGCATTAAAGAGATGGACTTGACTTCTGA